TTCCATGCCTCGGGGTTGACTGAAACCCTCACATTCCACACCCAGAGTTTAGACACCCCTAACTCCAAAGTCCTGGAAGAAGATGACATCTCTACATTTCATAGCCCCTAATTCTCTGCCCCTTCCCTCCAGATCCGAGAGCTGGTCCCTGAGTCCCAGGCTTACATGGACCTGTTGGCCTTTGAGAGAAAGCTGGACCAGACCATCATGCGGAAGCGAGTGGACATCCAAGAAGCCCTGAAAAGGCCGATGAAGGTGTTATGGGGTTGGAAGTGGGACCCCACAGATCCAGGCCCTTGGGCACATAGTATCTAATTACCAAAGGATATAGTATAAGGAAGCAGCAGTGGTAGAAAACACTGAATTAGAATTGAGAGGTCTGGATTCATATCCCACCTCCCGATACTAAGTAGCTATGTGACCACAAGCAAGTTACTTAATCTCAAATTACTTAACCTCTCAGCTTCAGATCCATCGGTAAAATGGGGATAATACCTGAAGCATCCATCTCATAGGACCACTGAGAAAAGTTTAAATGAGATGTTGGTAAAGTGCTTTGCAAACTTGAAAAAGCTCTTTATAAATGTCAGCTATTATCTGCCCTGGGGGAGTTTGATATCTGCCCTCTGGATGTTATAGCATCTGTTCTGGGGTAGACGGACATATAGCACGCTCCCCGAAGAATAAAATGTTGGTTCTACAAGTTGGCTATCTGCCTCAGGGATCAAAGGCTGTTCTTTGACAGCTCAGTGGTGGGCGTGTCGCTCTTTCTTCTACAGCAAAAGCGGAAGCTTCGGCTCTATATCTCCAACACGTTTAACCCTGCAAAGCCAGATGCAGAGGACTCAGATGGCAGCATCGCATCCTGGGAACTGCGGGTGGAAGGGAAACTGCTGGATGACGTACGTCCTGGCCCAGGTCTCTCCACGGGTCCTGGGGTGGGTTATGGGTCTACGATGGACTTGCTGGGAGAGATACAGCAGCTATATTTGTGCCAGGCATCAGGGAGCAAGACAGAGGCAATGGGATAGGATGGGATGAGGGGGAGGGATGTGGAGAATTGGGGTGCTTATGCAGAAGGGATAATTCTAGGGGAGGAAGGGAGGAGGCTGCATGTGTTCATGCTGCCCCATCTTGCCCTCATCAATTTCATCCTGATAGCCCCTCCCTTGCCTGCTCCCAGCCCAGCCTTATGCCACCCCCCATGGCCCCTGTTTTGCCCCCACGGTCCCTGTTCTGCTTCCACAGCCCAGCAAGCAGAAGCGGAAGTTCTCTTCCTTCTTTAAGAGTTTGGTCATTGAGCTGGACAAAGATCTCTATGGCCCAGACAACCACCTGGTGGAGGTGAGAGATCCTGTTCGTTCATTTATTCATACAGCAAAAATGTCTTGTTATTGTGTCCCCCCAAGTTCTGCCCTCTCCACACAGAGCCCAAGATTGATCCTTTTAGCAAATATTTATTAGGCACCTCCTGCGTGCAGTACTCTACAGCAGCTTGCAGACAGGTCCCCAACTAAGATCACCACCATTTCCAAGCTGTCTCAGCATTCAGCCTAGGGAATGGCATCCTGGAGCTCAAAGTTACCCAAAATCCAGGCAGGTCTGTGGTGATAACCTAGCTCCTTTTGCCCTGGACAGTGGCACCGGACACCCACAACACAGGAAACGGATGGATTCCAGGTAAAGCGGCCAGGGGACCTGAGCGTGCGCTGCACCTTACTTCTTATGTTGGACTACCAGGTACATGCTCCCTCCTGCCTGCTTCACCTCAAAAACCACATCAGTGCCCTTGTCCTCTGTGGAAAGAGGCCCAAGGGAGGATCTGAGTTCAAATCTGGCCTCAGACCAAACACTTGACACTTACTAGCTGTGTGACCCTGGGCAAGTCACAACCCCAATTGCCTAAAAAATTTAAAAAAAAAATGGGGCAGCTAAGTGGCACAGTGGATAGAGCACCAGCCCTGAAGTCAGGAGGACCTGAGTTCAAATCCGGCCTCAGACCAAACACTTGACACTTACTAGCTGTGTGACCCTGGGCAAGTCACTTAACCCCAATTGCCTAAAACAAAAACAAAACGAAAGAGGCCCAAGAGGCCCCCAGTGATTTTTCTCTCAGATAGGCCCCTCCTTAGACCTCTGGGTTGGACCCCTTGGAAACCCTCTTCTCCTTCCCCGAGTCGCTTCCTTTGGGAGAGCCTTATCTCAAAGGAGCCCCTCCTTCAGGGTCCCTAGTTCCGAAATGTGTGCCCGTCCACATCCCTTTATCCTCCCCTGTTCTTGTTCCTACAGCCTCCCCAGTTCAAACTGGATCCTCGCCTGGCCCGACTGCTGGGGCTTCACACCCAGAGCCGATCAGCCATCGTGCAGGCCCTGTGGCAGTACGTAAAGACTAATCGGCTGCAGGATTCTCATGACAAGGAGTACATCAATGGGGACAAGTACTTCCAGCAGGTAACCTCTCCCCTAAATCCAGGGATCTGAGGGAGCAAGGAGTAGGGACAAAGACTTCCAAGAAGGTAACTGGAACCTAAAACTCTCTTGAATCTGCATTTCATCTTGCAAATGGGGATGCTGCCTCTTTTCCCTACTGCCCAAGGGCATTGAGGATCAAATGAAATTCCCTAACTTAACGAATATTTATTGAACTCCCTACTACGTGCAGGAGCGGGCTTCAAGCTTCATGGAAGGCAAGAAGTAGATATTCATTGGAGGCCACATGTGTAGAGGAAGGACCAACAGATCAGGAACAGGAAAACTGGGTTCTGATCCTGACTTGGCCACTAAATGCTTGTGTGGACAGACGAGTCACTTAAACCATTTGAGTGTACTCAACCAGACCTAAAGTCTTCCAAAGTTCTAGTGTTTTAGAAGCCCAGGTTCTCTGGAAGTTAGGAGTCAAGAGTTCTGATTCTAGCCCCAAGATCTACGTGACCTTGAACAGATTTCTTAACCTCCATTCGGAGCCTAATTTTCTTTGTTTCTGAAACAGAGATGTCAGCCTCACCTACCACATAGGACTCTTGTGAAAAATGTATAATGCATTTAAAAAACCACTTTGAAAAATATAAAGAATTCTACACATGTGGGAGGATCACTAAGGCATTATTAAATAGTCTCAGAAGGTAATCTCAGAGTAAGAGTTCTTTCTTTAGTCATATCACCATACCCCCATTTTTACTGAGTAATGATGGCTGGTCTCAGCCTCCATAATGGGGCTTTTCTGGAGTTGGAAAATTGAAATGAGGACCCTGACATCCTCAAGCACAAAAGGGTGATATCTTTCCTATCCCCTACCCCCTTTCCCCAGATCTTTGACTGTCCTCGGCTGAAATTTTCTGAAATCCCCCAGCGCCTCACAGCCCTGCTACTGCCCCCAGACCCAATTGTAATCAACCATGTCATCAGGTGAGACAGTTCCTATCCCTCTCCCCACCCCAGAATTCTCCAATTACTTTCCCTTCCTATCCCAAGCGTCCTAGGCCCTTGGGCCATGTACAGGCCCTGGAATCTAAGGGTTGCTTTTCTCCTGGTAGTGTGGACCCCTCAGACCAGAAGAAGACAGCATGCTATGATATTGACGTGGAGGTAGAAGAGCCACTGAAGGGTCAGATGAGCAGCTTCCTTCTGTCCACAGCCAACCAGCAGGAGATCAGTGCCCTGGACAGTAAGGTAGGGTCAGTACTTAGAGCTGGCACGGGGCATAAACCTAGAGGACAAAATGCGGATATAGAATGAATGTCCTGGAGCATAAGCAGATGATGACACTTTTACATCTTTTTCCCTTTGCTTCCTGAACCTCAGTATCTTCCTGTGCCACTCCCCTCTCCCCCACTTCCTCAAGATCTTGGAAGGGTTAAAGGATGTGCAGGACTTGCCTTTGGAAGCACAGGAGAATGAAGTTACACGCCACTCCCTCCCTCTCCCATGACTTCCCTTTCTCCCATCGAGACAAGCTCAGAATAAGAAAGCCCCTCTATTTCACTTCTAGATCCATGAGACGATCGAGTCTATAAACCAGCTCAAGATTCAGAGGGACTTCATGCTGAGTTTCTCCAGAGACCCCAAAGGCTATGTCCAAGACCTTCTCCGCTCCCAGAGTCGGGACCTTAAGGTAAGAAGCTGGAGTGGAGGAAAAGCTCAGGGTTGTGAGTGTAGGGAATGAAAGAGATTTGGGTAAATTTTTAGTGTTAGGAAGATGGGTGAAAAGGAAGATGGTTCTGGTTTGAGAGGCTGATTCTTATGCTCTCCTTCAGGTAATGACAGATGTAGCAGGAAATCCTGAGGAGGAACGTCGGGCAGAGTTCTACCACCAGCCCTGGTCCCAGGAAGCTGTCAGCCGCTATTTCTACTGCAAGGTAGCACAATAATTCCAACCACATACGCTCTCCTTTCCCTATCCCCTCCATTCCAGGGCAAGTTATTAAAAAAAAAAAATAGCTTCTTCAATGAGAATCCCCCTGGAGAAATCTCTCCTATTCCGTATAGGGAAATCTCTCCCTTCTTCAGCCCCCAAGGTACAGTACTTCCCCTGCTCCCATCTAAACACAGGAAACTTGCTCCCAGGATTTCCGCCCAGGTTAGGTGGCCTGTGTGCTTGTGGGTGGGCTTTTCCCTCCCTGGGGGTGCTGCACCCAGTACTGCTCTTCCTTTCTGCAGATCCAGCAGCGCAGGCAGGAACTGGAGCAATCCCTGGGTGTACGCAACACCTAGGGACACCTCCTTGGACCAGACACCACCATGGACCTCCAGGGCCAGGTCCCCTGCCCTCCCCCCCCCAGGGACCGCCCCCTGGGCTGTAACATCACTCCTGAGATATTTTCCATGTGGGGCTGGGGGGACCAGATTAAAGGTCATTCAGCTACCAGTAACTGTGTAGTTATTGGGAACTGGGAATGTATAAGAGGCAAAAGACAGTGGCTCATTGGGAAGGACGCTCTCCCATTCCTTTCCCCTCACATACTTCTCCTTTCTCTCAGCCCTGCCTCTAGACCTAACAATAATTTGGTAGAACAAACTTTTAATAATATTTCTCATTTAAAAAAAATACAGTAACAATTTCTCCATCTGTCTCAGACCATCTTGCTTTGCCCTTCCTGGGGCAAAAACAGCAAAAGGGAAGGGATAAGGAAGTACCAGCGTACAGAGAAGTGGATTAGGTACTGTTGGCCTGCTCTTGTTCAAAAAGTGCCATAGCAAGTTGAGCCCGGCTACCCAATCCCTCCAGATTGCTGAGCCTACAGCGATGGTACAGTTCCTCACTAAGCCTCGGGCTGCAGTCCCGAAGTGAAAACCTCTGCACCAGGCCTGGCTCAACTGCACGAAAAAGGTGCAGTCCTGAGAAGCGTAGAAAAACATCTAGCACCTCTAGTCCCTCAAGGGCTTCCTCTTCTTCCTGTCCAGCCAGTTCCCCGGCCAGCCGGGCTCGAGCTGCTAAGTAGTCAGCATTGTAGAAGCACCCCTCCGAAGAGGCCTGCCGGTCAAATCGGCCTCCAGCTGAGGCCCCCCGAGGTTGATCAGGACCAGCAGGGGAGGGTGGATCAGGGCCAGCCCCGGGAGGCCCCGGGGGTGATTTCACTGGGGCCAGAGCAGGGTTGAACTCCTGGAAGTGGACAGGGAAGAAAGCCTGCCAGCCCGAGATGGCATTCATGCGGCAGCGGTTGAGAACATCAGGCCCAGGCCTTGTCCAGACAGTAGTTAGGAAGAAGAGTGTATCTACTGGGTGTTTTTTTGAGACTACATCCATGAGCCGGACCTGGGAGGGTGCCTCAGCTCGCACAGCAAGCCAGGCCAGTCGTGTCCCAGGGTGTCTGCGCTCCAGCTCTGCTGCTGCTGCCTTCACCCCTGCGAAGGGGTCTGGGGCCCCTCGACCACCCTCCTGTGGCCCATAGACCAGCAGCAGGGTCAGTAAAGCATGCTCCCTTGGCTCTAGGACACCAGCTGCAAAGGCCTCTAGGAAGGCAGGGGCAGCAGCAGCTTCTGTAGGCAGAAGGGGAAGCACCAGCTGTACCCTCGTGGCCTCAGTGACATAAGGCATAGGTAGGATTTCCACTCTGCTCAGTGGCCGAAGTAAACTGACTCTTCGTGCTAGGGCTCGACGGTGCCCACGTTGGGTCACAGCCTCCAAAAGGAGGTCCAGCGTATACTCCATGCCCCGTGCTGGGTCAAAGCGGCGGTAACCGTTGAGGAGCCGCTGTTTTCGGAAGCGTAGGCGGGGCTGGTAGCGCCTATTCAACTGCTCCAGAGCAGTCTCCACAGCATCACCCACATCTGCCCTGCTGGCCCCCCGGAGTGGGCATTTGGGGGCCCCATCTGCACAGGAGAAGATGTGCTGCTCTGTGAAGTAATCCCAACCCAGCACCTCAAAACGGGAGCGTGGAGTGAAAGGGGCAGGGAGCCCCACTGGCCAGCTCAACCCTGCTTCACCCTCCGGGGTCAGTGCTGTCAGGTTTCGGATCTGTGCCTAGAGAAAGAGAGAGCATAACCCGTCAAAGCCTCACACGAGGCCTCACATAGCTAGGGCTTTCTAAGTGCAAATTCACCTTTCGCATTAAGAGTTGGAATCCCTGAGTTTCAAGTCTGGCCCTGCCATTCATTAGCCACAGGAACTTAGGCAAATCATGAAACCTTTTTCCTCCATTTGTAAAATGGAGATAATAAGACTAGCCCTATCTACTTCACAGAGTTGTTTCGAGAGTCCGATAATAGAAATGATGTGTTTTGAACAAAAATTAAGAGCACTAGAGAAATATAAATTGTAACAACCTTTTCTCCATCATTCCCAAACCCAACAGCACATCCCTGTTGCAGCCAGGCCCTGTTCTTGCCCCTGCTTTGTCTACATTAGTCTTTATATGGTTTCCACCCCCCACTCCCCAGCTGTACATTAACCTACTACATCTGGACATCTCTGGAGGTCGCAAGTCCCCGGGAACAGGAACAAAAGCTTCTCTTCTGAATAAAGAGAAATTGCCAGTACACACAATATTCCTATATCCAAATCTCCCTGAGAGTTTGCTTGTAACCTCTTTTACTCCTCACTCACATATCCTCAGACACTTAAACAGCCCGTGGGCTCACCCAGCAGCTTTCTCCCTCTGGTCATCTTAGACATGAGTCAAAATCCTCTTCCCTGAAGATGGTCAAAAATCAGATCTGGTCACCACCTTCTTTTCCATTCTGGTCTAGTCCACGGCTCCAGCTCATCTGGATGCTTTCTCACTGTAAACCCATTTCAATTCCTTTATCTCTCATCTACCTGTGACAAAAGCCATCACCTTGTAAACTGTCCCCAATTTTCTGACTCACCTGCAGCTGCTCTATCTCACCATAGGCCCGATCCAGCTCCAGGGCACTGAAGCGCTTGTGTAGCCGATACATGAGCGTCCCATCAGAGACGGGGTGCACGGCAAAAGCACTCAGGAATGCTGAGCTTCCCTCCTTCTCGGGATCCCTGTTCTTGGCCAGCTCAAAAGATCGATACTGCTGCCCCTAGAGGGACAGAGGAAAGACAACGTCCCCTTCACCCAACTTACATACATGCCCACTGCATTCTAATCCCCCCAATATGGGGGCAGACTTGCCCACTGCCCCTTAAGAGTCTCTTGCCCAAGAACCTCCCTTTTCCCTGCTGGATTACGCATCCCCAGTGCTCTAAAGGAGGTGGGGGAAAGGGACTGTAAATTCACTCCAGTTTACACCTCAACTTCACTTCTGAGTCCCACTGTTCTGATCTCCAAAAGGAGGGATCAGCAGCTAAGAATACACTATTCCCTTAAATGGGCCTCCTATTTCTCCAGGGAATAGCCCCATCTTTCTGGACTGGAAGGGTGGAACATATCCAGGAACGGGCCCTTTCTCTCCAGGAGAGAGTTGAATGTGTAATAGTAGCTCTCACTCTCTCTCTGGGAGAAAAACAGATGTGTTCATTAAGGTGAAAAGATGGTTCTTCTCTGTGGTAAAGGCCATGTCTAGTAAATTCCCATCTGTTCAATATTGTTCCTGTCTCTATTGGTCAAGTGTCCCCAGCTAATAATTTTGGTGTCTCTGAAGTTTTATGACTATTGCAGGGAAGGTGCAGATTGATGCAAATACAGACAGGAGGCAAGAATGGCTTTTGCTGAAAATGCAAGTAGCTACTAAGCTAAAGGTTGCATTGGCAGCAGCTTCTACAGAGATCAACTGAGTCAGACTCCAGGACCACTCAGGAGACTCTGATGAGCCTCCTGGAGTTGGAGGTCATGGGAGGGCAGTACCTGGTGCTGAGAGACACAGCCAATGCCCAGGGAATCGATCAGGCAGCGCCCAAGCCACTCATCAGGACGGGCACTGAGGATGTCTCCACGGCAGCCATCCAGGTGGGGCCTCAGCCGGAGCAGGAGGCTCCTAGACAGCAGGTAGCCGAAACCACCATGACAGTACCGGGCCTGCTCCCCTGCACCAATGAACTCTTCGGCCCGACCCAAGTACAGGTCCTGGTTGATACTAAGGTGGCCAGCAAGTGCGGCCAGGCGGGGGGCTTGGACATAGGTGTCATCCTGCATTACGAAGAACCAGTCGTAGTCAGCGCCAAAGTGAGTGTGAAGGTGGCGCAGGGTCTCTGACATGAGCCAGGCTGGGCGCTCATCTCCATGGGATACCACTTGCATCCCAGCTGGTGCTCTGGCACCTCGCTGCCCTGTGAAATACAGTAGCCGAGGAAAGTAGTGGGCCACAGTGCGGTTCACAGCCACTGCTAGTGTGGACAGTGTGGCCCGGGAGGTCAGGACAGCCACGAGCAGCCGTTCACGAGAGCCCAGTTCCGTCTGGATATACCGTGTCCTGTAGAGAGACCACCGAAGTCAAAGGACCAACTTCCCAACTCTCCAGAACCCTTCTGACATACAGTTTGCCCTTCAGATTATGCTACCTTTAGATTAGGCTAGGAAAGAAGGAAGCAGCGACCATCTCTACTGACACTCAACTCACTCACTGATTAGAGAGGCACCCTGGCTTAACAGGCAGCACTGGCCTTGAAGTCAGGAAGACAGGTGTAAGTCTTGTACCGTACAAATCAAGCAAAGTGACCATGGGTCAATCAGTTAACTTCTCAATGTCCCAGGCAACTCTCAAAGACTGTCATTTAACACGTTGCTGATCTGCTTCACCAGAGGAAGTTTTCATATTGGGAATTCCTTACACTGATGAAATCATAGGTCTGGGCCAAAAAAAAGTATTCCTGAATATCTGGCACTGTAAGTGTTTTTATGGGATTACTGAACATGAATTAGATGTCCCTCTTGCCTTCACAGAGCTTACAAATTTGACCTCTTATAAAGCCAAGGTAGGGGTCCTGTATCTCAAGGACTATACAGAGCACAACTCTCACCTGAGCACCTTCTTGTATGGCTTATTGGGATCCCTGTAGTATGGAACAATCCGGGGCTTGAAGTCTTCATCACTCTGGCCAAGCTGGGTCCTTGAATCTAGCTTCCGTGACCCCCCAAGTTCCCCCAAAGCCTCCACACAGGGGTCATCACCCTCCCCCTGGATCCAGGAGACCCGTAAGAGGCTCAAACTGCACCCCAACGACAGTCCTAGGAGGAGGGGGAGTGCTGGTCGCAGCAAAGCCAGAAGGGAGCTCAGTCGCATGGTGGTGTGTCCTGTGGCAGCGATGCCTTCCCCCAACAAGGGGCACAGCCTCAAGGATCAACTAGGCTAAGTGCCTTATGTGTTAGATAGCCTGGGGCAATGCTACACGGAAAGCTTTAAGTAAGGAACCTGGAGTCAATGTGGTGTATAGCACAGCAGAGTAGGTGTGCTTCCAGGATCTAGCATTTCCCAGGGAAGTTCAAGACAAAATCAGGACCCAGGGGCTTCCCTTGAGCCCTAGCCTGGCCTTTATTTTTTAGCCCCCTCTTACTCCCCAGCTGTTAGAGCAGAAAAATCTAACTCTTGAACAGGAAGCAATTAGGCCTGCAATTAGTCTAACAAGATTCCACAGCTGCGATCACAGTTTGGTCTTTTGGTGAAAGATGAGAAAACCAAACATAAGGACTAGACTCCTGTTCCTGATACAAGGAAGGAGTGACTTGCACTAGACGTAGTGCAAGTGGTGGCTATAAGAAGAGATGAAAGAAGGATAAGAGGAGAGATTCATGGCACCTCAAACCAAGAGCCACCAACCACAGTAACTAAGCTCAGTCTCAATCCAGATCTGCCTGTCCTCCAGAGTTCCAGGTTCTAGATCAGCCATACCCTAGAATTCTCACTTGGCCTATCTGCTCAAGATAATACAAGAAAGAGTGTCTGGCTCTCCTGGCCTTCCCTTTAGTGATGTGGGGAAAGGGTCGCTTAGGGAAGTCCACAAATCAAAAGTGACCAAGACCTGCTAATATTCTGCATCTGAGAAGAGGTACCTGAGTGAAGTAGGCAAGCTTGCTGACTGAGCACCCATACTGTCTCAAAAGAGCCCAGTGGCAGATGGCATTTCCTTGGAATCTGGCTTACCTTAAGGCAAGCTGCAAAGAACAGTTCTGCCTGGACCGTTTTTTGAGGGAAATGGAAGAGCCAGGTTCCAGGAGTCTTTGCTGCATGAGTTCTTGCTCCTTTATCTGGTCTACCTATAGAGATTTTGCTACTTAATAGAGATGTGATTTTAGACGAGTCACTTCATCTCCCTGGGCCTCACTTTCCTCATCTGTAAAATGAGAGGGTTGGAACAGCTCTAGACCAAAGAATCCAAAAAAGATTCAAAACACCAAAGAAACCAAAGAAGGTGAAGGGGCTGCTAAATCTCCCTGCAAGGGGAAGCCTAGCTCAGCTAACTTTAGATGTACCTACATCAAAAGTAAGGAAAACGTAGTTCTACCTCCCAGAAGCCAGGGATAAATACTAAGTCTGCACAGAGGAGACAAAGACGAGTCTGGGTTTGTCCGGAGTTAGAGCTGAAAACCTGTTCTTTCAGAGAGCGCAGGGGAAGCAGCAAAACAAGCCCAGTTTGCTGAGTTATTTCCTTTTTTTCCGTTTTTCTTTTTAGAAGGGGGAGGAGAGAAAGCGAAAAGAGGGGGGATCCTGACAAGGAGGGTCTTAGGGTTGAGCAGAAGCTTCGGGGAAGACAGCGAGCCTCCTCCCAGGGAGTCCGAAGCGAAGCGGGTTGGACTCCAACCCCACCGACCCAGGGAGAGCTCGGCCACGGACTTGTTGGGGACCGGGACGGGTGCGAGGTGTGGGGGGTAAGCGGAGAGGGGAGGGAGCAGCTTAATTTCCACACACCCCAGAGAAAGGAGATCCCGAGCAAGGAATGGAGAGGACCTGACGCTGTTCTAGAGGATGACAAAGCCCGAATCCCGGCCGCAAGACACGAACGAACCAGACTCCAAGTTCCAGAGACTTGCCGGCTCCGCTACTGCGGCCGCTGCCACCTCACAGCCCCCTGGGCCCGCTCCTTCCTCTTCCGCTTCCCCGGTCACTATGGTGACCGCATCCGGCGGCTAACTCTGGGCCGCCAGCCTTCTCTATGGCTCTCTCTAGGCCCCAGTACGCATGCCCACACAGGACAGCGAGGCCAAGCTGCGCCAGTGCAACCCAGAAAGAACAGCGCCCACCTGCGGGACCGTCGGGATCAGCACATCGCAGAGAGAAGAGCTTGGTAATTCAGCGGGGACAGCACCTCCGGAAAAGCTCAACCCCTTGAGAACAGAGCAGTCCCGCGGGGCTGTCCTCGAGGACAATGGGGACAGAGTATCCCACTGGGGACTGAGCACCTCTGGATGACAGCTCATCCCTTGAGGACAGAGCATCCTCGAGGGCAGAGCAGCCCCGTGGGACTCTTTGAGGACAGCAAGGACAGAGTATCCATCCTACTGGGGACAGAGCACCTTCTGATGACAGCTCAGCCCCTTGAGGACAGAGCAGCCACTCGAGAACAGAGCAGCCCAGGGAGGACAATGGGGACTGAGTATCTCCGTAGGGACAGAACACCTCCGGATGACAGCTCAGCCCCTTGAGGACAGAGCATCCTCGAGGGCAGAGCATCTTCGAGGACAGCGCAGCCCCATGGGAAAAGAACCGCTCCACTGAGACAACAGAGGTCAGCGAGGACATCGAAGCGTGGTGAAGACAGCTCCTCTCCAGCTATGGGGACAGTGCCACTCCAAGAGGACAGGGCAGGACTGAGCTGCCGGGCTGGCCCAGCATGGCCACTAGGGGACTGCAGGACAGGCCAGATCATCAGAGCGCTTGGGCCGCAGCGCAACCTGTATCACGAAGCCCAGTGAAGTCCCGAACAGCTCGGGACAGCGCACCCTGGCGGGGACAGAGCAGCTCCACGAGGACGTCCTAAACTCGAAGAGAGCGTAGACTTTCTGAAGGCCTAAAGTGGCCTGGACACGGTCACTGTACCTTTGCCTCTTTCTCCTTCTTCTCCTTCCTGGGGTTCCCCTTCTGTTTTCCTTTCCCCTCCCAATTACTCCCCTAATTCCTTTCTTCTTCTCTTTCCATAATTTAAATTCAATTTTTCAGTTCAATTCAACAAAATGTACTAAACACCTACTATGTACAAAAGTAGAGGCAGCTAGGTGGGTCAGAGGATAGAATAGCTGGGTCTGGAATCAGGAGGACCTGAGCTCAAATATGACCTCAGACACTTACTGGGCAAGTCACTTAACCTCTGTTTCTCTACTGGAGAAGGAAATGGCAAACCACTCCAGTATCTTTGCCAAGAAAACCCATGGACAGTATTGGCATGGACAGTATTGTCCAAGGGCTCACAAAGAGTTGGACATGACTGAACAACAGCAAATGTGCCAAGTACTGTTCTAAAGGCCTGGTATGCAAATATAAAAGACACAATCCATGCCCATTCCTTTCTCCAGCCTTAAAACAACTTCTTTTATATATCCTATCTCCTTTCCACTCTTTCTTCCTCCTTTCCTTTTCTTCTCTCCTCTTCCATTCCTTCTTATTTTTCCCACCACTATTTGTTTCACCTACCCTCCATCTTCCACCCTCTGCTCTTCTCTCCTTTTCCCTTGTCCCTTTGCTCATCTCCATCTTCTTCCTCCATACCTTTATACAGGCTGTCCCCTGTATTGGAAATGCACTCCTTCCTCACCTCTGCCTTTTTAAATCCTTTGTTTCCTTCAAAACTCACCTCAAGCTCATGTACCTTCTACATGAGGATGAAGCCCTTTCCTTACTCCCCAGATGCTAGTGCCTTCCACTCAAGATTACTTTGTATTTTTTTTTATATAACTTGTATATGTACATGTTGTCTTCACTAATTGAATGTAAACTTAGGACAGGATCACAGTGCCTGGCACATAGTCCTTCCAGCTATAATAATTGCACCCAACCCTGCCTGTCTGTCATGGACTTTTGTACACATCTCCCATGAATTCACTTCAGAAGCATTCTGAGAGCTTTACTCATTTTTTCTTGACTTCATCAATAGAGCACTTGGGTTGGTCATTGGTTCCTTGCTCTAAGCATGCAAACAGTCCACCTTCTTTTTCATCCATACATTTCTTTGATGGCATCATTACTCTCGCTTCTTTTAATTCTCTATAATTGTATAGTTGTAGCCTACTCATACCCATTATTTATCTCTCTCCATTGAACTCTGAGCAATATTCATTTTTATTTCTTCAGAGATTTTAATGTCACACATTTCAAGTCACTGGATGAATATTGGTATTTTTTAAATGAATGTCTATTTCAGGGAGAAATTTCTAGTCATGAAAAGAACTACACAGTTTTCCAAAGGCAATCAGGCCTGCTCTTCTCCCATTCAATTCTGTATGGAATTCATTGTCCATTTGCAGTCCTAGTTTAAGATAGATACTAATGGGTGGGCTCTACAGGCTGCCTTTCAATTGTATATCATAGTCTGGATAATGGTGATTCTTTTACCTGTTTGGTTTTTCCTAACTGGATAATTAAGCCAAACTCTTTAGAATGTTTGTGGATCTCAACTAGGAACCCCTGTAATTTTCTGGGGCTTGGTGCTATCATCATAAGATTATCAAAAAACCAGGAGAATCTAGAGGACATTAACATCTATAGGAAACACCTCCTCAATTTGGACTCTGTGCTGGATCTTGGTATTAATGAATGGTGGGTTGTAGAACAAAGCTATCTGTTATATTTTTCGAGAGATCTCGTATAATCTTGATAAACACATGAGAAATGCTTTGATGGAAGAGGGCCTAAGTTATCTGCATCTAAATTTAATGCCTTGTCTACCATACCATAAGACCGCTCATTTTCCCTTGGTGATGACTGAGGGCTAACTCCACATATGGGTCTTGGACTTTCTTAGCAAAAGCCAATAGAACTACTTCTTTCTACCTGCCTTGTCTTAGGCATAACTGTCCTCTGTACCAAGTTATTCACAATACTGAATTTAAAGTTTCCATATTTTTGGAATTCCTTTCATTTAAAAAGTTTGGAGGAAGGAATTGACTGACAGGCAGTCTCACAAGTCTAACTGATGGCATAACCCTCAACGTTCTCAAGATTATTTGATTACAGCAGGCAGTTAGGTGGGTATAGAGCACCGGCCCTGAAGTCAGGAGGACCTGAGTTCAAATCCAGCCTCAGACCAAACACTTGACACTTACTAGCTGTGTGACCCTGGGCAAGTCACAACCCCAATTTCCTTTAAAAAAAAAAGTGAAAAAGTGTTGCTTCAAGATTATTTGATTACAGTTTGCATTTGAATGAATAACTTTACAATTATGTTCATTCTTGGCAGGGTAGGTTTCTGTCTCATCAAAAACCAAAGGCATAGTGTTTTCAATCACAGAGACATCAGCTCCTTCTACTGTATTTTTATTGTCATCTAATCTCTCAAACGATGTAACTTTCTGAAATTTTGCTCTCATTATGAAAAAGTGGGATCTGACGATCTTTCGTTGTTTGGCCACTTAACACAATTCCTAGCCTTCCTGATCTCTAGTATCCCTTTTTATAATGTATTTATAATGTATCATCCATTTTGTAATGTACTTTTATAATGTATTATTATAATGTATTATAATGGGGTGGTGGTGGTGGTGTGGGGCAGTAGTTATTTCAGTACTGGGTTTATAAGTATAACACAAGCCCTAAGCTCATTGTCCCAACCTATACTTGGACCAGCATGTTGGATCCTCATAGTATGAGTCAGACAACTTCTCCTCTTATAGTTCTAACCCTGAAGGGCTGGTGGGTTTTCCCTAGTACTATTACTCATGAGCCCCCCGATCTAGTATGTTCCCTCAAAGCCAACTGACCAGTTAATATCAATTCACTTTTACCGAGGGTCCCTGAGAACCTTAAGTAAAGTTGCTACAAAATATTCCTCCCTCCAAGGAGGGAGCGGTGCTTCCTGGCACTAGGATTCCTTTTAGCTCTTCATGGAATCCCCAATAAGTTCATTTCTAGATGCAGCATTTGAATGAGTTGCCCCCTTGCTTGCGGAAAACAGTGTTTTGGCTAAATCAGCACTGTTGCTTGGTTACTTTGAGATCTCTTCACTTGACTTGGCTACTACAGCTACTGACAGATAGTTACCTTGCTTCTTTGCTAGGCCTTCTAGTGGCTTTTCTAACCTTTTAAAGCTCACAAAGTTGTAACCTGCTATGTTGTTTCCAATACAAATTCACCTAAGATCAAGGAAGATTCATACAAAGAAGCAAAGGAAAAGAGTTGCCATGTGTTTATGGCCACATAGCACCCACAGCAAGATGAGACAAAGACAGCAGGTCACTGATACTGTTTTCCCCCTCATGCAGAGGCCCATGACAGTTCTGGCCTTAATTGCCACCAGTGAAGAAATAGAGTTCATCTGTTTGAACCTTGTGTATATGTACTCATTTCCAACTTAACAACTAATTAAACATCTTTCATAACCAGGAAGTAAGCTGACAGAATGAAGAGAAGACTTGTAGATTTTCTGGGAAATGTTTAATAATTGGTTTTCTGAAAAAAATAATGTATGTGCAACACACTTTTCAGTTAATTCTGAATTAGTAACATGACAATCAATAAATCAAGTCCCAAGTCATTTGCCTCTTTCCAGGGTATAAATTCTCACACTGGTACCGATGTGTTATAGCTGTCTCCAAAACACCCCTGCCTGTGCCTGTTCTGAAGAGGGGGAAGGAAGGGCTCTTCCAACATAAATTTTTAGAAGCAGGTTTACTAAACCTCCCTTCATATCCAAGCATGTGCTTTAAGGACTGGGTCCTTGTTGGCTCTTCCTTGATTACACAAGGACATGAGTTTGAGTGAGTTTGTGAAATAATAACTATCAATCACTCCTCCAACAAATATCCAACAAGAAGTAACCATGGTATACTAGTAAAAGTACTTCCCTTAAAAGCTGATCTGGACTTTGAGTCCCAGCTCTATTGTTTACTGTGTGACAATAGGTACTGCTACTTTAAAACTCTATACAATTCAGTTTCCT